AATTTGAAACTGCAGAGCCATGTCTCAAAGAAACCTAGGAATTGTTGTATTGTAACATTGCAGGGTATTTTCATGAAGCAGGCTTAGTTTGTCCTTCATGAACAAACATTCCCAGATGTGAACTTTGGCTATTTTCTCTAGTGGCACTAGGTCCAACTTTTTTTTTTTTTTTTAAGTGGACTGAAAGGTGTGATTTCCTAAATTTTGAGAAAACTCTGTTCATGGTTACACCCTTCCCAGGGTAGTTAAATCACCAGGTTTTCAGAGCTTGGAAAAATAACCTTTTAGAGAACAGCTTCCAGAATCCCTGAGCATGTATAGCCTAAATCCAGTGTGGCCATGTTGGTTGGGTGATTCTGGAAGTAATAATCCAACAAGTTACTGTTTGCTTTAGCTCCTGTCTCAATTATAGTGCTAGGATTCCCCTTGAACTACCATGGTTCCATCCTGAGGAATGCTAAGAGCTGCAATTTAGGAAGGAATAATTAGGATTCTCAGCCAGAGAGTTCCTGTAGTGCTTCCCTCAACAGCCAGTCCCAGCATGTAGCCATGGCAGTTAAAGTGGAATCATAGCACTATAACTGTGTAGTGTGGATGATCCCATCGTTCTTTCCCAGACAATGAAACTGAGCATAGGCATTTTATCTGCCTTAAGGGCTCAGAGTCTAAACCGGGAGCAGACAGCCCAGCTAGCATCGCTACACTACAAGCCCCATCATTCTCAGCTGGCATGGCGAATATTCAAGAGTTATGGGAGTTGTCACCTGAGGCCTAAATCCATTTGCTGCTCCTGACTAGAGCTGCCCCATGGATGCAATGGGATTTATATAAGTGCTGTGGGTCTACTCTAGGTAGCAATTGGATTTAGGCCCCCAACATCTGGGTGTCCACCCTGATTTAAAGCACTCTATCTCCCCTTAACAGTTTGGATCACAAGGGGGCCCACGATCCATACCCTCTCTGCCACGCTGTCCACCACCAGGTTGCAAGCTTTCAGGTATGGGTCCATAGCTGCCATCATACCTGCCTCTTGGCCCTGAGTCCATGGATCCACCCCCGCCACCGCCACCGCCACCATATGCTGAAGGGTACTTTCGACCAGAGTCATATGAACCTGCTCCACCACCATAGGGAACATCATACGGTGCATTGGGGTTGCCTTTTCGTATTGGGATGTAGCCACCACCCCACTCCTTGGGAGATGGGATATAGGGTATGCCAGGGGCCTTCCATTCTGGGCGTGGGTGACCTCGTGGGTAGTTATACCGGATGCCAGAGGCTGGGCCTTCATAGGAGACACCTCCATATTGCTCAGAGACACCCCCGTATTGAACAGAACTCCCTGGCCTCGCTTCCCTCACAGGACCAGGACCATACTGGGAAGGGCCGCTCCCATATGGGCCAGGTTGCCTTGGCCCACTGTACTGAGCAGGCCTTCCCCCAAATACAGCCCCCTCTGGTCTGCCAGCCTGTCCTGGTCTGTTTGGCTTCTCAGTCTGGAATGGTCTGTCCCCTTGTGAAGGAGGCTGGGATGTAGGAGAACCATTGCCTCCAGTGCCACCTCCTTCTCCTCCTCCATAACTCCCAGATGTTGCAGGACTGCCCCCCACAATACGGCTGTCTCCCCCATCGGGGGCATCTCTTCCTCGCCCAGGCGGTGAGACATCAGGTTGGAGGAGCCCACTGGGCAAGGAACACCTTTGCACACCAGGAGGCAGTGGCTGCAGGTCTTGCCCAAGCACCACATCAATACATCTGGACTCTGAGCCTGGAAAGAGAAAGGCAGAGAGACCAACTTCAGAAAACCACAAACAGCAGGTGCATTTTTGGAATGTCCTGGCTGCGTCCTCCACAACAGATTTTGTGGAATCCACACTCTATAACATTTCACAGGTTGAAAATGGGGCACAATTTTTACCATTAAGAGGTTCTTTGTTAAGGTACCCCCAAATACTTTGAGGCACAACAGGGATAGCTTATAACAATACATCATTACTGGGGGAAATAGGTTTCCCTTCTGTGGCTAATGCAGTTAAACTCAGAGGGAAGCAGGCTGTCCAAGGGGAATAATAGATGAATTCAAACTACTTACTAATCAAAGAGTCCTAGATTTTCAACCCTGGAGCCTTGGCTCCACAAAACCTCTGCGAATTTTCCCAGATTTCACAGATGGCCAAACAATATCAGAGTGTGGTCAAGATGGCAAAAAATATTACTGTAATGAGGATAAATACACAAGGTAGGAGAGGCTGTAGCAGTTTGCTTTTGCCTGAGCCTATTGAGAAAGACAAGATTCTGCCCACTCCTCTCCTCTCCCCATGAGTCAAGTGAGTACAAACTGCTTTTGCATTTTGAACTCGTTTTTTATCAACAAAAGTAAGCTGAGGATAAAGGAAGGAATTGGGAGCAAGACAGTGAAATTGGGACATTTGAAAAGATGGATTACTAAACTGAGACAGCAGTTGTGTTGCTGTTAACTGCCCTCGAGTCAATCTCGACTCATGGTGACCTTATGGATGAGACATCTCCAAGACCCTCTTTCCTCCACTGCTTTGTTTAATTCCTGCAACCCTTTAATATCTGTGACCTCCTTAATAGAGTCCA